TTTTCAATTATACCATGAAAGATTAAGTTTAGATACCAGGAACTTCCCTAACTGACCTAGGCAATAACATCCTACTGTGATAAGACAGTGATAAAATCAATTTGGGAGCTTTTCCACGCCCTCTGGCTTCTAACCTAGAAAGAACTAAACCATCCCCATAATGCCAGATTTAGTTATATATGTAAAGTTTCAACTTGGCTATTTAAAGCAAAACCTTACTTAATGATGCAGCTCAGATCTCATAAAAGATAGTTTCTTTGTCCTCAAATTACTCCAGATTAGCATAAAGATTATTAGGGAGACAATCTATATACATTTAGACATTAATGGCTATAATATGCTGGAGTGAAAAAAATACCAAATTTCAAAGAGGTATCTGAAGTGAAAATATGTTTCCATTTTAAAGGTAACTGAGAACATAAAATTAGCTCAATTTTAATCTTTAGGAGGGGGAAAAACAAAAAACCAGAAGCAGCATGAATGCCTTCATAGGCCACATGACATCTAGTCCAACACCAAGGAGTAAGAGACATTGCTTTAAAAATGAGAAAATTCAGAAAGCCCCTGAAATTCTCATTAAAATAAATACCATCCCCAACACAAGAGAAATAATGCATAGATGATCTACCCTTCCAGATATGAAAAACACACAGCTAAGAAACCTACACAGATCCCAAGCCAACCACAAAACAAGGGGGAACAACATCCAGTGGTAAAATATAGCAAATCTTCTATATGAAATACTACCTACATGGTATTTCTACGTGAAACATTACCAGTTTCTACAAAGTCAACTCCAACTTTCAAGGAATCTTTACTAAAAGCACCTCTATTACATAAAGTTTTAGTGAATTCATCAAATATTTATTAAATACAAACAATGTACAGGTGCTTCACATAGCAAATATATATAATATCCCCTTTCATACGAAAGACATATACATACTATATAGAAAAAAACTACCAAAAAAAAACTATCAGTTAAAACTATCAATCATTTCTAGATAATAGAGATGATTTATTTCTTTCCTTTTTGGCTTACCTGTATCTTCTAAATAACTATAGTACTAATAGCTAGACCAGGTGAGGTGGCTAACGCCTATAATCCCAGCACTTTGGGAGGCCAAGACAGGAGGATAGCTTGAGGCCAGGAGTTCAAGACCAGCCTGGACAACATAGCAAGACTCCATCTCTACAAAAAACTTAAAAAAGAATTAGCCAAGCGTGGCGGTGCATGTCTATAGTCCCAGCTACTCGGGAGGCTGAGGCAGGAGGATCACTCAAGCTCAAGACTGCAGTGAGCTAAGACTGTGCCACTGCCTTCCAGCCTAGGCAACAGAACAAGACCTTGTTTCTTAAAAAAAAAAAAAAAAAACAAACAACTAATAGGGAACTTTGAGGCTATTTCCTTATAGATAATGTGATACCAGGCATTGACTCCATCTTAGATTTTAGTCTGGGGCATTGCCCAGGCAGAGAAATGATAGAAATCTTATGAATATCAAGTTGCTGGTTTATGCCAAAGCATGGCACTCCCAAAGGATGCTCTGTCTAGAATCTGTGGGGGAATCATATACAAATCTCCTATTTACTCAGGCTTTCCAAAGAGGCTGGAAATGTTTGTGTGTTGAGGGGAGGGGGCAAGGGCTGAGAGTGGATTTGCTGACTCCTAAAGGTTCAGCCCTGATTCCAAGCTTCTATAAAAGAGCAGTAAATGAGGGTTTGGCTACCATTTGCTGACTACTGAAGCCAGCATAAACATTTACTTAAGGCTTTGAAATCTGTAAGGGTACCCAGTGGTTAGGTGCAGTAATTCTGAATCTGAAAAAAACAAACAAGACCACTGAAAATGTTTCTAAATAAAGGTGGGGTGGAGGTAGGCACATTTCCTTTGTTTTCTCCAAGTAAACAACACAGATTTTAGAAATGAAAAATAGGACTCTCAGTGGTATTGATCCCTATAAACTGCATAATTCGTACTTTTCAAAAAAGTCCACACATAGCTTTTAAACAGATCCCTTCAGTCAAAAAAGAAAGAAAAGGCCTACGCTTTCCTATGGAAACAGAAACAAAATCAAACCTTCAAAAATATTTAGCATTCTGCTATATAAATTATAAATCCCACATTCCTAAATAAAATGGCAAAGATACAACTTTTGTAGTTCTTTAGCCACAGGAATATGAGAGTGGTGATTCAGAGTAGAACCTGATGTTAAACATAACTATATGATATTACTAATTACAGAGAAATTTTACCAATAAATATTTTGGTTGAGACTGCTTTGTCATCTTTGCAAATATTTTTAGTTGAAAGCAAGTGGTTGGGTAGTACACGTGGACATGGTTCTGATTTTTAAATATCTATTTTTACATTCTGGTCACTGGTTAGGTTTTCTAAACTCGATTTTTTAGAACTAGTAATTTGGAAAGGATAAGCCACAAGAACGTTACATTAAGAAGCAAAGGATCTAACAAGGTCACCGACTCAGATCAGCACAAAGTTAACCTGGAAATCAACAAGTGCTCACAAATCTAATGATGAACCCAGATAGTCACTAACTCCCAAGGAATACTATATCCAAGAGTAAATTGTACTAAAGCTATCGTCTCTCAAAATATAGCAAGAACTATTTGAATGTCCTCGTTTTGTACTTGCATAGTTATTTTTTGGTGGGCCTCCCTTCAAATTCACCCCGTAAAACTCCAAATTTGCTTCTTTCTACTTGGACTTAAATTTCAAATTTTAAATATACATACCCGTTGCAGCAAAATACTCCACAGCAGTTTAAGTTTTTTACACAAGTTAGCAAAAATTTTACTAAAATTTGAGCTTTGTTAAATGATTTTTCAGTCACTTTTAATCTTTTTAAACAATCTCCATCCAATTTAGATCTCAAGAGTTTGAGGATTGGTGGTTCAATTCATCCACGAATTTTCTTTCGAAGGTTTTTGCACACAGTGCTCTTAACTACTTGGATTAGAGGTAAAAGATTAAAGAACTGTTATGACTAGGTCTTTCTTAAAGAGGGATGTTTTAAAAGGAAAGACGTTGTCCCCTCCAGTTACTCTAAATGAGCAGCCTCTTGTTCTCAGCGGTCTGTCTGCACACAAGACCACTACTGACTTCAGTGGGAATTCTGCCCAAGAAGTGAGGAAGACAGGATAGGATTAAATTAGTCCTAAATCCACACCATTGTTCCAAGCCATTACCACTTGTACAGTTCTCCAATAACCTCCAAAGAGTAAATAGCTGAGATTTGATGATGGTTCTCAAATTGAATTACAGGAATGATCACTAGAGCTCTGACAGGTGACAGCACAGCTCTTTAAAAGTTGTGTCAAACTCGCTGCCTGATACATGTACTGGGTTGGCCCTGATCACAAGTCAAGACTTCACTGCAACCCAACTCCATTAGTGGCTGCAAGAGCAATCCAGTGATTTGGATTGCTGCAATGAGCCTGCAAAGGGAAACTGAATAGGATTAAGCACTATCAGTTCCCCAGTAAAATTTGTTCAAAGATTGAGAATTCTAAATCCCAGCACCTGCAGCGAGGAAATTGACTCAATTTCCCTCAAGTGTTAAACCCAAAAGGAAATGTGACAGGACACCGACCAAAATGCTAATTCTCAACACAGTGTTATAAAACAGAGAATACAGAAAAAATGTATTTCGATGAAAGAATAAAAACAAGGGGAAAAATAGAGAACTGAAGAAAATAAAAGAATGAGGGAAAACTCTGAAAGTCATTTAAAAAAAAAAAAAAAAACTTTTAACGGTAACAAGAGGAGCAAGGCGCCTGGCTCACACATGCTATTTCAGATGCACGAAGTTCAAGTAACTGAGGAAAGCTGTGATTCAGAAAACATAAAATAAATCCACAGCTCCTCTAAGTTCCACCTTTCCTCCCACCCATCCAGGGCTCTTAAAAACAGGGGCAGCTGTGTGGCGACGGGGAAATTCAATGAAAGGGGTCCTCGGTCGGTAAGGAGGGTTCCACACAGAGACCCCTCCCAAAAATAACAGATTCTAGGCGAGAGCTCTTCCCACCAAACCTCTCCAAAAAAAAAAAAAATTGACCTTCGGTAGGTTAGCGATCTGGGAAGCACAATGACTGACGTCCCATCGCAGACGTCCCGGCTGCTAGTTAGGGGCAGCGTTTCCGCCTGGGGATGGGGTCCCCGGCCTCAATTCGAACCCTGCCCGCTCCGTTAAGTTTTCCTCGTCCTTTCCTGTTGCTCACCTAAAAATGTTCCCAACCCTCTGCTCCCAGCCCAAGAGAAGAAAAACAAGATGTGTGTGGTGAGACGGCCTGGGTGTCGGAATGGTAAGGACCCGAGCACGAAACGTGCGTCCCTCTCCGCAGCTCCCACACAGCGCAGGCAGCAGCCGGGCGCGAGCCGACGCCGGGCCCGACCCGCGCCGCGCGTGGAGCTACCATGCTGCCCTCGCCCAGCTCCCCGCAATCCCCACGCGCGCGACCGGCCCGCGACCCCCCTCCCAAACCATCTTCCTGAAGGGCGACGCCGCGGCCGAGTCTCCGCAGCCCCCGCGCGCCCGGGATGGAGCTGGATTTCTCCCGCTGCTGTTCCACGGGGCCCGGACGCGTGACCCTGAGCCCACGGCACCCCGGCGGGGACGCCTCAGGCTTCACCATGCCCCCACCCTCCAGGCTCTGCAGGACGCGGCCCCGATTCCCGGGAAGGGGACAGAGGAGAACGCGGTGGAGCGGGGAAGCGGGAATTCGGCCTGAAGCAACAGGACACGGACCCCGGGGCGGGAATCAGGCCGGGCAGAGAGCGGGAGGGAGAGGAGAGGGAACTGCAGAAAATCCCAAAGCCGGCCCCCTTCTCCCCACCCCCACCCCCGGTGGGACCGTCCCGCCGCCGCTTCCTGCCCGGGATCAGCTTCCCAGCAACAGCCTGAGGAAAAATCCGAGCTACCCCAGAGGCTCCGCAGGGACTAGTCGCCCGGCCCGTGCAGCCCCGCACGCCTCCTCACCCCGATGCCGCGCCTCGGGAGCTCGCTCGCCGCGGCGACCCGTCCCGCTCAGGTCCCAGCCGCCGACCAGCGGCGCCTGCCTCCTCCCTCCGCTAGGTTTCAAATTGAAATTCCCCGGCTGGGGCCGTCAGAGAACTCGGCGTGCCGACCCCGCCCCCTCGCGGCGGAAGCCCCTCCCGCGCCCCCGCCGGACGCGCCCCCGGCACGGAAACCCCCGCGAGCCGGCCACGCCCCCAGCTCTAGGCCACGCCCCCGCGCGGGCGGGGGCCCCTCCCCGCGGGATTCGCCGGCGGCAGGGTACCCCCCCCTGGAAGGACCTATTTCGCCCTCAGGGCCACCCGATAGTGACAGCTAATGCCTATGTGCTAGGCGTTCTCTATTGCGAGTCCTGGCCTTAAACGTCCTCTCAACTTTTAAAAGTTATTTCTGCAAAGTGCTTTCACTGACTAAACCTCCATTGAGCGTATGTTCCGTGGTAGACTGTAGAGTAGGCCCTGGAGATGCAGAGTAAGGAAAACTGGGGCTCCCTCAGTCTAGAGTGGAAAAGTGCTTTCACAGAAAGGGCATTGAAAAGGAACCATTTATTCTTCCCGTGGGAGGGACGGGAGGAGCTGGGGAAACCCCATGGAGGAAAGGCCTTTATGCTCAACCCTTAGAGTGAGCAGGATTTCTCCCGGGCAGAGGCCTGGGAACCTGGATTGCAGAGCGTCGCATGGCTAAAGAAGAGTCTGGAAAGTTTGGGGCCAAATTGTGGAAAACCACAAGCATACACACACAGAATAGCCTTCCGGTTCTTTTCTTTTGTGTAATTATGCCTCTGTGTCTCAGATTCTACTTATGTCATCTTTTCTGAATCCATGTCAAACAGGGTGTGCAGCTCACTGCCTCCAGCATCGGCCACACGTGCACCTTTTGTCATTTGGCTCTGCCCACCTCTAGTGAGGTCTTTAGTGATTCCACCTCAGCCAAAGTCAAGTCTCCCTTTCTTTCCTAAACATAACCTTTCCTAAAATTAACAACGTCAATGAAACCTCAGTAACAATACCTTCCATGTGTATGATCCTTTTCAGTTAACAAAACACTTTCATATATTTTATCATTTGATCTTCACAATAACCCTATAAAAAAGGCAGGGAAGGTATTATGTCCATTACATCAAAGAAAAGAGAATTGGTGGGAGGCCAAGGTGGGAGGATCACTTGAGCCCAAGAGTTCAAGACCAGCTGGGGCAACATAGCTAGAATTCATCTCTGCAAAAAATAGAAAAATTAGCCAGGCGTGGTAGCATGGGCCTGTAGTCCCAGCTATTTTGGAGGCTGAGGCAGGAGGGTCCCTCAAGACCAGGCTGTCGTGAGCTATGATTACACTATTGCACTCCAGCCTGGGCCATACAAGACCCTGTCTCTTAAAAAATAACAATAATAATAATAATTGGGAAGATAAATTATTTGCTAAGGTACTTCTAGTAAATAATAATAGCTAACATTTATTGTGTGCTTTATGTGCTAGGCATTGCTCTAAGTCCCTTACATATGTTAATTTACTTAATCACAATCCCATATGCTAAGTGCACAAGTTAAATTAATAAGGTGTGCTAATACAGAGCAGAAGCCTGATTAGACAGCAGTTCTGGTAAAGGAGACCTGGGAATTTTATGACAAAATAGTTCTATGAACCTTGAGGCAGATTTACAATGAAACTAATGAAACTTAAACTTCAGGAGTCCTCATTTTCACAGGCCTTGAAACTAACTTTATATTTGTAATTTTATATTTCACTCTGTATTTTATAAAGGGTTTTTAAAGTCATATAAACTTTGGGGCCCATAAAGCCTTGCTCCACCCCTGATGAAACCCTTTTAAAATACTAATGCAAAATAACAACACAAATACAGACATAATTAGTAAAATATAATGCACTTAGTTTATCATAGGAAAGGATATCCCTACTATATTCTCTGTTGAGGTATGTGAATCTTTTTTTGTTTGTTTGTTTGTTTGAGATAGGGTCTCACTCTATCACTGTATCACCCAGGCTGGAACGCAATGGTACAATCATGGCTCACTGCAGCCTCGAACTCCTGGGCTCAAGGGATCCTCCTGCCTCAGCCTCTCTAGTAGGTATGACTACAGGCATGCGCCACCACGCCTGGCTAATTTTTCTATTTTTTTTTTTAGAAACAGGGTCTTGCTGTGTCGCCCAGCCTGGAGAATTGCTTTTTTATGCCACCTTTTAAGAATAATTTTTTGCTCCTGGACAGAAGAATATTAATTATCTGAATTTTATACATAAATGAATGACCTCGATAATGTGGAGGCCAGCCATTTTAGCCTAAAGAGATGATTAAAAGTGATGAAAAGGTTGTTATTAAATACCTAAAGACTACTGCATAGAAGAAGAATTAAACTCTGTGTTTTAGACAGAACCTTACGTGTCCCCAGCATTTCAATGGAAAGGAACAAATTCAGTGAGGATCTGGCAGGAACTGAGGGTAGAAAAATCAAGTTCCAGGAGCTACAAGGAAGTGAAGAAAACAGATGGAACCCCATACCGTAGAGATGTTAGCAAACAACAGGTGGTATCCAGGCAAGCAGGGAGATCTAACAGGGAGAGAAGAGGGGTTTGGACAGAAAGAAGGACAAAGTCCTGAACAGGTGATATCCAGAGATGCAGACAAGCTGCAATACTGTCAGGACTACCAGGCTGCAGTTCAAGGGCAGAACGACAAACCCCAGGAAAACAGACTGGTAAGAACAAGACTGGGGCCGGACGTGGTGGCTCATGCCTGTAATCCTAGCACTCTGGGAGGCCGAGGCGGGAGGATCGCTCGAGGTCAGGAGTTCGAGACCAGCCTGAGCAAGAGCGAGACCCCCTGTCTCTACTAAAAATAGAAAGAAATTAGCTGGAAAACTAAAAATATATAGAAAAATGTAGCCGGGCATGGTGGCGCATGCCTGTAGTCCCAGCTACTCGGGAGGCTGAGACAGAAGGATTGCTTGAGCTCAGGAGTTTGAGGTTGCTGTGAGCCAGGCTGACACCACGGCACTCTAACCTGGGCAACAGAGCAAGACTCTGTCTCAAAAAAAAAAAAGAACAAGACTGGGTCTTCCCACTAAACAGACTATAGTAACAGGCACAGGACTGACACAGAGAACAAGACAGGAATCTAGATACCAGACCTGTGACTCATCACATCCAAATTTAGCATCACAGCCTCAATCCTCGGCACCATCTGCAAGCAAGGCTCATCTGGCAGTACGGACTAGAAATTTACCCAGGACCTTCTTAGCACCCTGACTTACCAACTCACCCTCACAGGCATGGCCCCCAAGAAAGATTGATCTCACTATATGGGTGATCAATTCCTTTACCTTTGTGCCTGCAGGGTGCCGTGCCCAAACCAAGTGGAAGTGTCGGAACAGCTCTGGATGGAGAACTTGCCCTTCATTTACATTGTCCACAGGCAGGAAGTCCTGACAAAGTACGATGAATGCTTGCAGTCCCAGTTCCACTGCCACAGCAACAAAGATACCACACAGATGACAGTAGGAGTCACTCTGTCACCTGGCTCATCTTTGGCACAGTTTCAGTTGGGCTCCAAAACCTCAAAACTTAGTGACTTAAAACAGCTATTTTATTGCTCATGATTTTGGGGGACAGGAATGCAGGCAACATTCAGCAAAATGGCTCATCTCTGCTCCATGTGGTGTCAGCTGGCAGGGTAAACTGTGGATAAAGGACTTAAGATGGCACACTCACATGTCTGGCAGTTGGTGCTGCCTGTCAGCTGGAGCACCTATTAATAATTTCTCTTCCACAAGGACTCTCATCCTCCAGAGCCTCTCTCCCTCCCTCCTTCTCTCCCTCCATGTGGCCTATCTAGGAGCATAACCCAGACTTCTTTGCATGGCACCTGACTTCCAAGAGGATAAAAACAAAAGCTGTAAGGCCTACAAGGCTCAGGCCCAGACGTCAAACTACATCACTTATCTCTTACTCGGTTGGTGAAAGCAAGTGAGAGGGCCAGCCCCAATTCAAGAGGGGTCATAGACTTCACCTCCTGGTAGGAGGAGTGGAATGTGTGTACGGTGATGGGAAAAAACTGTTGGCAGCCATCTTTGTAAAGAATTCACCACAGGCACCATGTTTTTCTAGTCTAGTATTAGAATCTGCCCTCAAGCAACCCTTCTTTCCGTCTGCAGTAAAGTTTTCCACAGGTTTTTCATCAAAAGCATCACAAGGCCCCCTTTCCATGTAAGTCACTTGAAGTGAAGATAATCTCCTTTTGAAAAGCCACTCCCAACTATAGCTAAGAAGAGGTATAGGCATCTCAAGCCTGCCAAACCGCAACTCAGTTGTAGCTGGAGTTTTCACACACACACACACACACACACACACACACACACACACACACACACCTGCTTCATTTGGCTCAGTGACAGAGAAAGGAAAAGGCAGGACGTGCTGGTTCCCTTACACTGGAACAGAGTCTCCACAATTTCTCCCTATGGGGGTTCGCAGTTGATTGCTCCCTAGACCTGAAAACAGAAATAGAATAGGCCCAATAAAAATGCCAGAAAAGCTACATTTGGAAAAAACGCAACAAACAGTTTAACAATCTGAGTGTCACTAGGTACCAGGCCTGTGCCATGCTCTGGACATACAAAAATGAATTATATATTGTCCCTGCCATCTTAGAGTTCATAGTCTAGTAAATAATACATTTGGTAAAGGAAGTCAGGAATTCTGGGTCCTATCTCTGCCCTCAAATTGTCCTCACTACCTAACAGAGACTATACTTGGTATTTGCCATTTTATAGTATAAATGAAATACAAGGAAAAAATGATTTTTGATATAAATATAAAAATTTCATTGAGTCCCATTTTATGCCAATTAAATTCAGGCAATAACACAGAACAAGTTTAGAAAAGTTTATATTTGACTTTGATTCTCTTCACTTTATAAGTAAAGAAGGGTGACAGGGCCTTAAGGTGTGCTAATCTTCACTGGACTCAGAGAGATCAGAAGAGAAGGCTCCAGGCTCATTCACAGCCATACAGAGTCGAAGAAGGCAAAGGAGAGACTATGGAAAGAGCCTTATGAGCATGGATCCACATTTTGCAGCAAATCAGTAGAT